GTCCACCCCCTGTTTGGTCGCGTTTGGTTGCTGGCCCAGGGGAACCGTAATGTAATCGATTCTTCGCTTGGGATCCTGGCCCTGGGCTCCGGGTGGTAACGGGGTCCCGCGGGCTCCAGAAAACGATGGTGGAAACGTAGCCACTGCACATTGTCCCGTGGGCCGCATGAACTGGTGGAAACACTGCCCGCTCTCATTTTCAACTTCGGACGCCACGTTTCCCATGTGTCCTGACACCTGCGACCCCAGGGGCGCATTGGCATCCAACAGGCAGTGCAGCGGTGCTGGCCAAGATCGACTGCTGACGTGAGTGGCCGTGCTGCTACACCAGCTCTGTATCTTGCAAGCGGTCGTCGTGCGTGTGGCGCGTGTCCAACCAGCGCATCAATGCGCATGCAGGACGCGCGTATAGCTGCTAGTGGGTGCCGTGGCGAGTAGCTGATCGCACGTACATGTCTGCGTGCCAGCGTGCGTCCGTGCTCGTACTCGTGCTGCGCGTTGATCCAAAGAGCTACTCCATCCTTGCCTCTCGATTCTGCAGCTGCGGTGAGAGCCATGAAATCGCCTGCTGGTGTCTAACCATTCCGACGCAACCGCATCCCCAGGGTGCCAACTCGTGGTATTGGCGCGTAGAAAACTGATGAGCTAGCGCAAGCATGCGGCCGGGCAGATTGAGGCCAGCCGCATCCTGATATCGACGCCGAATCCTTGTACGATGCCCTCTCGCACCCTTCCTTCGGGGCCGCAGTGTGAGCGCATTCGCCGCTGCAGCGCTGACCTGACGCGGCATGCCTGACATGGGGGATTCTCGTGGCACGAAGGAGTTTGTCGAACCGCGGCCAGCTGGTGGCGAACGCGCAATGCGTAGGTCCAGGACAGGTGGGTAGATGTCGGGCATTTCACACGCGCTAACTGTCGGATAGCCCCCCGGACCGTTGTTGGACTGTGCTAACATAACCATGGTACATCAGCGGCAGCATCCAGCAATGCTGACCACGGTTGAAAACCGGCGTCAGTAGTCGGGGCGATGCCCATGGACGCAAGGCGTGCTATGGCTACCTGCAAGCTCGTTCAGCGGATGAGCGTTGTCCCGTGACGTGTTTCCATGTGAGCAGCGTAAGCTGTCGTAGTAATTTCAGGGCCCCGTCGAAAAACCACGGTGGGCCCCCACGCGACGTATATCGCGTACCCCCTGCGGCCGCTGAAACCATCAACTGGTTACCCGTGAACACTTCGACTGGGAGATTACAAAACCTTTCAAGGGCTTGCAGCAACCGTGGGGCCAGCCACAGGGCGGCCTGAAATTCGGCATGACGGGCTGGTCACGGAGCCAGCCGGCACAAGGTCGGCACCGCACAGATACCCGTCACATATGTATCTGCCCGTCAACGTAGCTGAGAAGATGCGCCATGTCCAAGATGGGGTCCGCACAGATGGGGATGTTTGGACCCTCTGGGCCCATCTGTATACACTTCCAGTCTTGCAACTTTGTCGCCTACAGGGGGTGGGGGGGTGGGGGGGGGGTGGGGGGGGGGCTCCGTGGGTCTCCAAACAACTACGGGTGCTGCTGTGCAGATACGGGTGAACAAAAACACACTGCTCGGGCTCCCTCTGGGGCCCGAGGAAGAATAAGGTGAGGGGCGACATGAAGGGCCAGGGCTGACGGAGATGCCTGACCAGTGAACTGCAATCTGGAATGGGGCATCGGGGGCGAGCTGGGTCAGCCTCTGTCTGAGACTGTGACGGTGGCGGCCTGGCTGGGAAAAAAAACGAGCGACGGGCAAGCTGTGAGATGCTATCTCGGGTATCTCACTCGCCAGCGCTTGCCCGCCAGGCCGCGTCGCCCCAGCGTCGACGCCCCCGATTCGCTGCCTCCGCCATCCACGACCAGAGAACCATCCTCAAGTCGTCTCGGGCTGTGACTGCGACTGCGCCTCTGGCGAAGGGTCGCCGCTCCAACCGCGTGATCTTCACCTACCTCCGCAGCAACTTCAGCACGTCCGACAGGCGTCGGTGGGACGTCGCCTCGACCGCGACGGCTGGGCGCCGCCTCCTGCCGAGCAGTAACATCGCGCAGCCCTTGCTGCCCGTCTGGCTTGCGAGCGCGATCTGCCTCGCGCTTGGCCTTCCTTGCAGCCGCTGCGCGGGCCCTCAGCTCCGCGGGCGTGGCCTGCCTTCTCGCCGACGGCTGCGCGCCGCCATCGATTGGGGGGTCGACTGCTGCGGCGGCAGCTTGAGCTGCGGCTGCGAGGGCGGCAGCGTCGGGCAGCGCGGCCGCAGCGGCCGCGGGCCCAGGCGGCGGGTCGGCGCGAGGCGCCGACGCGTCGGGGGCGGCAGCCGCGGGCCCAGGCGGCTCGGCACGCGGCGGCGCCGCTGGCGTGGCCGCGGGGGCCGCTGTGGGGGCCAGCCGCTGCGGCTGCCCCGCGAAGGGCGCCGCGCCTGGGACAGCCTCAGTCCCTGCGCCAGGGCCTGCCGCAGCTCGTACTGTGGTCATGTTCACCCGCAGCGTCGTCAGCATCTGTGTGAGCGACGTGAGCTGCCTGGTAAACTGCTCCTGCCCTGGTTGCAGCTCCGCGATGCCGACGACGGGCGGCGCCTGGTCTGGCGGCGTGCCAGGGACTGCGCCAGTCGCCGGCGGTGTGGGCGATGCTGCTGCAGACTTCATGTTCACGTCGACGTCCGTCGCGTGTCTCATGACCTCGAGCTAGAATCTAGCAGCCCCTTGGCTCGACTGAGCGCATGCTCCCGCTGCAGCACCTTCGCCTCCTTCTCCTCCAGACTGGCTCGGGCTAGGTCAGCTGCAGCATGGGCCTTGTCGATCTTCACCTGGGCACGCTGCACGAAGGTTCGTTGTCGATCGCATCTCGCACCATGGGCTCGAGCTGTGATAATCATGCATCGTTGCACTACGTACTCTTCTTCTTGGGGTTGCATCTGCTTGTTCGTCGTGCCGAGCTCTTTGGCCGCCTGCAGTCGCTTACCAGTGGCCGCCGGCATCTGTCTTAGCGACCACCTGTGGGCAGCGAGCTCCTTCTCGTCTCTGGGCGGCTCAACCCACGCTGGATGCAGCTGTGCATCCTATGGGCGCGCTGGCAGGATGCCAAGCGCAGGGCTGCGCAACTCCTCCTCCGCCTCTGAAGCCCGGCCTCCAGCGGACTCCTCATCTTCTGCGAACCTCACGCGGGATCCTGAACTGGGCCTCGACACGCTAGACTGGCGGCGGCGTCTGCGACGAGAGCCTGAACGCGGGCGAGCATCTCTGTGCTTGCTGTCCTGGCGCCGGTGGTTCGATTCGTCGCTGCCGTCGTCGTCGTTGTGACTGGGCAGGCTGTGGGGGAGAGGCATGCACGTACGGCACAACATGTCAGCAGGGCCATTCAATCACCCACACGTCTGACACCACCAGCCTGGCGGAGGCGGCGGCACACGCCACGGCGCGCTCGTTCTTGCGGCACGACATTTACCTCCTTTGTGTCCGCCTGGTGGCCCAACTCCGCCTTTGCCGCCGCCTCCCATGGGGCCTGATCTGTGATGTTCTCGCACCGTAGGTGCAGCGGCGGCCACACGCAGCAGGATGCGTGACTGCGTGCGCCGCTCGCGAGTTCGCCTGTGCCAGGCCGGCTCGCGCGCCGTGGGCGCCCGTCACGGGGCGGCGCACGCCGCGTCAGCAGCACGGCTGGCCCGCACGCCTATGGCAATCCACAGCGCTGGTTGACGCGTCTGACTGCCGTGTCCCGAGGAGGCTCGCAGCGCGTGGTGCTGGGTACCAGGGCGCTGCGCCCAAAGCCTCGAACCGGGACGGCGGCTAGAAGGACGGGGGGGGAGAGAGGAGGTCCGAGACGCGGCGTGAGGAATGGCAACGGTGTGGAGGAGGATGACGAGAAGGGGCTGGCGCAGGAGCAAGATAATCATGAGGATGCAACATCAGAAGCGGGACCAGGACTAGCAAGAGGACGAGGAGGAGGGAAGGAGGGAAAGAAAACACGAGACGCAGGAAGAACACTGCAACATAACTGGTGGATGATCATCCGACGGTGAGCAAACACGATCTGAGCCTGGGGCTCGAAACCGGGCAAACACGTACGTAGTAGTTGTTGTTGTTTTTTCTTCCGCGTCGCCCAAGCAGACTTGAGAGTCTTCCTTCCACTGGTTGGTTGCTGGGTCATGCCACGGCCTCGGGCGCCTGAGCAGTGCAAGCACTGCGTGGGGAATGAGAACTCCAAGCGCTATCTCGGGGAAGAGGTGGCATCGAGCGCCTCAAATACCCCATCCCCCAAATGTAAGGGTTTATCCGTCCGATTGGTTTTCGGACCATCGCCCGATTCTCGGGCGGCCTTGGACAAGCCAGCGTCGTCGCAGGAAGGCTCTCGACGCGGCGCAGCTGCTGGAGTCATCTTTCCGTGAGGGCGGAGAGGCAATATACGAATAATCAGATTTCGTATCACTCACCATTCTTCCGTAGGCTGTTTGGGCCAAGCCTCAGATCTGATGGCCAGCGGGGCCGCGTCCGCGTTGCCATCGCGTGGGAGGCAGGGTAGGCAGCACGGAGTGATTTATGATCAGATATGAGACGACGATGCCAAGAAAACAAGAGGTTCCGGATAGATCTCAAGCTGCAGTGCTTCCTGCGCGAGGGCGAGGAGGCCGCTCGGCCTAGGCCATGCTGGCGCAGGGGCGCTCTCGACCCCGAGCGCCGAGGGCCGCCGAAGGCCGCTAATTTGATGGCCCCCGATGGCAGGGCAGCAAGGGACGGCGGCGAGCCCGGGGGGAAGTGAGAGGGGGCGGCCCTTCCCAAAGGGCTCGGAAGTCCTCCGGCCTGCTGAACCATTTTATAAGCCTTCCCCGAAGGCACAGAACACTTCTCAGAAGGCGCGAGGGTTTCTGAGAAGTCTGAGAGCGCCTCCTCCTTCTCATTTCTCCCCCCCCCGGCTCGCTGCCGATAAAGACCTCCCGATGGCCGCCGAAGGCCTCGGAAGGCGAGGGCGAGGAGGCCGCTCGGCCTGGGCCACGCAGGCGCCGCGACGCCCTCCGCCCCGAGGGCGCAGAGCTCTCCGCCGCCCACGCGCGGCGTCAGCGAGGCCCAGCAGGCGGCCGCGCCGTCGGGGGGGTCCTCTCCGCGGGCCGGGGGCCGCGGGCGCGAGCCGCTCGCCGCCCTGCGTCGCCATCAAACCATATACAGCCGAAGCATGGCCACAGCAACGATCACTGCTTCTCCCCCGCTCCAATGCCCGTGGTGCTGTTGATTGAAGTGCCACCCCGGGGCTCGCACCATGTCCTCCATCATGGAGCACTTTCCGGCTCAAACTGTGCCCCTGGGCCCCCTCTCCACAGCAATACTAGCGATTCCCGCCCGAGACTTCCTCGCACTCTATGCAAGACTCGCGCTCTACGTCCTCGCATGCTGCCCAAGAAATCGCGCTCTCGCCAAGGGGGGTCCTCGCAGCTTGCTCAGGCGATGCGCTCTCGACGCCCAGGAGCCGCGCTTCCGTGCGAGATTTACTCGGCATCAAGCTATAGCCGAAGCATGGCCACGAGGATGTGGGTCAAGAACGTGCGCCCCTTTGCCGAAGGCCCAGGGCCCCCCCTGGAGATCCCCCCAACACGAAGAACACTCCAAAGTGGAAGGCCCCACCACGACGGACAGAAGGGTACCCCTCTAAATCTACAGCCGGCCCGCACCATAAGGATGCGCGATAAGGATGCAAGGGCCGTGGACGCCCATTCCGAAGCCCTTCGAGCGGGGCGCGGCGAACGAAAGTGGCCAAGGATGGGCAGTGGAGGCAAAGATGCAGGGGTACCCTTGGGAAGGTTGCCCATCCTTGCCATGCGGGTCGACTGTAGAGCTGCTCTCAGCCCTCGCGCCCGCAGTGCATTGGGGGGACCTTCTCTGCCCCACCGACCTAGCCGTCCGCGCCACATCCGAGGCCACCTCCGAGGCTCTCCGAGGCCGCAGCCCCATCTCAATGTTGATCGTGCGACCAGCGAAGTTCGCAAAAACAAATCGACACCGCATTGAGCGTTTGAGCGTTGAAATTGGGAGGCTGGGAGGGAGAGGTGTGCAGAAAAACACCAGTTGGTTTTTGCACGGGGGTGTAGGCCATCCGAGGCCCTTCCGAGGCCACGAGGTGACTTTTTGTCCGAGTCTTCCCGCATTGGGCCCTCGTTTAGAATAGAGCCTTTGTTCCTCCTCTCCCTCTCCCCGCGTCTCCTCCTGTTGGCGGCGAGCTGTGGGGGAAGTGAGAGGGGGCGGGCCTTCTCAGTGGGCTCGGAAGTCCTCCGGCCTTCCGAAACGTTTTCTAGACCTTCCCCAGAGACACGGGGCACTTCTCACAGGGCGCGAGGGCTTCTGCAAAGTCTCGCCGCCCTCTGAGAAGGCCTCCTCCTCCTCGCTCCCCCCCTGGGCGCGCCGCCGTTCCTTCTTGCGCCCTCCCTGCCTCTGTCTGCCCGCTCTCGACCCGACCCCCCCGGGGCGCCGCCAGGCGCACTCAGAGCTGCCGCCGCCGCCCGGAGCCCCTGGGGCGCCTGGTGGAGCTGCCCGCCACGCGGACCCAGGGCACTCGGGTCCGCGTGGCGGGCATCTCCGCTGGAAAAGGCTGATTCGAGCAACGCCGCTTGCGACGATTCGTTGTTAATCCAATCGCGCTTGCTGGCTCGAGCTGCTTCACGTGGGCCGAAGGCCCTGGGGACACCTTCCCCTGGGAAGCAGCACCCAGAAGTGGGAACTCGCCTCCCTGGGTGGTGCCAGGCCTACTTTTAGCAGGTGCATCGGCTGAGCCATCTTGCTTCACGAAAATCTGAAGGCACACTGCTCGGTCGATCCTGGACCTCCCCCCCAGAGCTCCGACTGGTGCCCGTGGCCATCTTCTCATCTGGTGTGCCTGTGGTGAAGCTTCGGGGGGCTTCCCGAGCTGTCGCCGCTTCCCGAGCCCCGGCGGCCTCCGACGGAGCTGCCCGCCGCGGGGCTCCAATCGGAGACCTTGCCTCCCTGGGCGCCGCCGAACAACCATCGAGACAGCGGGACAGGCACGTCCCCGCAGCAGCCCACAAGATTCGGAGGAGAACTGGCCCGCAGGATTCGGAGGACGACAGCGACGACGACGACGACGACGAGCACAAAAGGAGGGAACGAACGGCGAGGCGACAGGGAGAGGACCTCCAGGGCACCTACAGGACTGCCAGGGCGGCGAGGCGCGCTGGGTGACGCCGAGCGCAGCAGGCTCCGTCGCCGCTCCCCGAGCCCCTGGGGCGTCCGACGGCGCCGCCCGCCGCGCGGCTCCAAGCGGAGACCTCGCCTCGGTGCCGAGGGGTGCTGCCCCGAGCCCCTCGGGAGCGCGGCGGAGCTGCACGCACACGCCCGCATCCAAACGGAGACCTCGCCTCCCTGGGTGCCGCCAGGCCGTGCCTTTGTGGATGCTGTTGCTGCTTGTTTTTTTGAAACCGCTACTTGGAGACAAGGGGGAGGTAGGCGAAACTAGGCGGAACGGGAGAGAAGCGCGCGCCTGGGTGCTGAGAAGCGTGGTGGGTTCGGCTGTCGGCAGAAGTGGCCCTGGCCCGAGGCGGTCTTCAGTTTCGGGCCCATCCTGGGGATCCAGAAGGCCTCTGGCACTCACGAGAGGTGCTCCCTGAAGGCCTGTATATCTAACTGTTGATGTATGTTTGTATGCACACATCTATGCATATATATATATATGCATATGTTAGCCAGCGTGGATTCCAAACAGTGTCTTTTTAGAAATAGCTGTTGTGCACTCGATGCGGTGCAATCTATGTGGTGAACGCTATGTGGATCAATATGTGTTGTTGTGTAGCCTATGTTGTGCAGTCGATTTGCTGCAATGCATGTGGTGCAATCTGGACATATCTGGACAACGCAATGCAAAGCAATGCGCAGCAATACAAAGCAATGCAAGGCAATGCAAAGGAATTCAACGCAAAGCAATGCAAAGCAGTGCAAAACAACGCACTGCACATCGATGCAAACCGATGCCATGCAAAGCGCAGCAAAGCGAGGCACAATAATAAAAGCAAGGCGACGGCGAGCACGGAGCCGCCAGACCGGCCCGCAGGCCCAGACGACGGGCGGCGACGAGGCGGCGATGGGGCGGCGACGGCGAGCACGGAGCCGCTAGAGTGGCTCGCAGGCCCAGACGACGGGCGGCGACGAGGCGGCGACGGGGCGGCGACGGCAAGCACGGAGCTGCCAGACCAGCCCGCAGGCCCAGTTCCCCAGAAAAGACCCAGTTCCCCAGAAAAGAAGTTATAACCCCTAAATGAAAACACTAACTGGGAAATGTAGATACCTGACTTTGTATTTGCATGTGCGTGCGTATTTGGACTTGTATGTGTATCTGTATGTTTTTGTATGCGCAGGTACGTATATCGGCACACATATAGATATACATGTTTGTTGTCTTTTGAATGCTTGTTTGTCTAAATTTGTTTGTTTGCTGCTTTTCTCGATCCACAGACTACCGCGGTCTCGGCGCCAGCGCGGCGCGCGCCCCGCCGTCCGGCGAGAAGGATGAAGGGGAGGAGTAGGAGGAAGAGAAGAAGGTGAAGGAGGAAGAAGAGGAGGAGGCGGAAAAGGAGGACGAAGAGGAGGAAGAGGAGGAGGAGGAGGAGGAGGAGGAGGAGGAGGAAGGAGGAGGAGGAGGAGGTGAAGGAGGAGGACGAGGAGGATCAGGAGGAGGAGGAGGAGGATCAGGAGGAGGAGGAGGAGAAGGAGGAGGAGGATGAGAAGGAGGAGGGAGCGGGTGTTGCCAAAGGTGTCCACGGCCTGAGTCGGGGGCGTCCACGAGGGGGGCGTCCAAGAGGGGGGGGGTCGCAAATCATGACCCGAGGCAGGTGCGCGGCCCAAGGGGGGCCAGGAGACGCACTTAAAGTAAGAACAGGGGGCCATGATATCTGGGAGATATCATGGCCCCCACCATGATATCCCCCCCTTAGGTAGTCATCCCCCCCCCCCACTGAAGTGTCCCCAGGATTTCTGGGGGTGCCCAGAGGTTTGGCCTCCAGTGCACCCCTCGCGAGGCCCAGAAGCCCCCAGTGGCACCAGAGTAGTGTGGAAGGCTGGGGACCCCCTGGGCCAGGGCAACGTCCGGCAGCACCCGCAGGGAGGGATGGAGGAGGTGGCAGAGGAGGAGGGGGGCTCAGACGCCCTTGTAGCACGACCAGAGCCCGTGGGCGAAGAGCAGGATCGAGAGGCCTGTCCGGAACTCCTCGTCGCACGGCACATCCGCCAGCTGCGGGCCGCCAATCGCGCTGCCCAGGATGGCGCCGGTGGCCAGCGGGATGGCCAGCGTGGTGGCGCTCGCCACGTGCCCGAGGGCGAAGTGGCGCGCGGCCGCGGCCAGGCTCGGCAACACCATCGCCTCGGCGGCCGCAGCACAGGGGCGGTGGCCCAAGGGGTGGGGGGGCATTCGTGTGCCCAGGGGCTCCGACCAGGGCTCGAGTCAAGCAGCGTTCTCCGTTTTCGTTCTGTGTTTGCTTTCCCTCGCTCTGTCTTCGTGCCGCCCTTGCTGCGAGGCGAGATCCAAACGACAACGGTCCTCGAAGTCGCCCAAGCACTGTTTCGCTCGAGCCCTGGCTCAAACCGTTCGCGTCTCCGACGAGGCTCCCCAGCGAACACGTGCGGTGCCCGCCCCTGGGCCATCCACCCCCTTTGCTTTCGCCGGTCGCCAGCGTGCAGGTCCTCATGGTGCGCTCGTCCGTGCCCGTCGCACCGAGCATCCCCGCGGCCGCCGCCGCCGCGTCGCTGGCGACGTCTGGATCGAACGTCGGCTGGGGGTCGCCGCTCGCCGCGGCGCGCAGGGCAGCCGCGGCCGCGCCCGGCGAGGCGACCGGCGCGGACGCTTCCTTGGAGCCCAGCTGCCCGGGCGGCGCGGTGGCCGTCAGCACGGGGGCCAGCATCCTCCGGGCCCCCAAAGCCGTCGTCGTCGTCGTCCTCCGTCGTCGTCGTCGTCTACCGTCCGTCGTTGTCGTTGTCGTCGTCGTCGTCGTCGTCGTCGTCGTCGTCGTCGTCGTCGTCGTCGTTCGTCCACTGTTGTCGTCGTCGTCGTCGGAATCTCCAACGGCCTCACCGCGCGGTCCGTCACCACACGGCTTTGGGACCCTGGATGCCTGTTGCCCGAGAGACGTCCTCGGAGAACGGCCGAGTCCCCAAACTGTGCGGTGACCCAACCCCCGAATCCCCACTGACGTACCACGCGGTGCGGTCACCACACCGGTTGGGGGCCCCCAACATCCACGCAGGCCCGATGCCGAACAGGCCCAGGCACGCCCCGGACGCCGCGCCGAGGAGCACCAGCCGCGCGGCCTCGGATGCGCCCGCCGGGGGGGGCGCCTGGCCCGCCGGCAGGGGCGCGGGCGTCTGCTCCGTCGCCTCGCCAGCCTCCTCCTGCTCCAGTTCGGCGTTCACGCGGAAGCTCCGGTACTGCACGAAGGTGGCGACGCCGATGAGGAAGAGGCCGTTCAACCGCCGCATGTGCTGTGGCGACAGCCGCGCCGCCAGCGCGGAGCCCGCCAGGGCCGCGGCCGTGCCGGTCGCCGTGAGCACCCCAACGGCCTCCACGTCCACGACCTGCGCCAGCCAGTCGAGGTCCAGGGCCTGGGCGTCTGGCTCCATCGCCGACAGCGTCGCGGCCAGCACCTGCCGCGCCGCCACGCCGAAGACGGTGGTGCCGACGGCGATCTGCTGAGACAGTGCCAGCGGCGGCAAGGTCAACACCGGGATGCAGACGACCCCGTGACTCATCTCGAACCACGTCCCCATGCAGCCTGCGGCGGCTCCGACGCCCAACGCGGTCAGGGCCAGGCGCTTCCGGGACAGCGGCTGCTCGCCCGGCGGCCCCGCTGGGACACAGAACCACCGGGGCCGCCCTCTGGCCGCTCCCCCGCGCCCGCCCAGCGTCAGCAGCCGCCGCGCGGCGGGTCGCCCCACGGCGGCTGCAACGGCTGGCCCAGGCGCCCACATGGCGTCCCTGGGTGTCCCGCGTCCCGGGGTGTGGGGGGTGGCAAGCCGCACGTTTTAGCCGAGGTGGCTGTGGGAGGAGCTCGGGGAGGATGACCGTGATCATGAGCGGGTGCAAGTCGCCACGGGAAACCCTCTTCTGGGCCCGGGGTCCGATGCTCCTGGGCGCTTCCGCCCCGTTTCGTGCATGGGGAGGCCTCTAGAAGCGGAGAGCGACCTCGGCGGCCGCCGCCGCCTTCGCCTCGGCTGCCGCCGCCGCCGTCGTCGTTGTCGTCGTTGTCGTCGTCGTCGTCGTCGTCGTCGTCGTCGTCGTCGTCGTCGTCGTCGTCGTCTTCGTCGTCGTGGTCGTCGGCGGTGGTGGCGGTGGTCGTTGTCGTCATTATCATCTCTCCTCCTCCCTCTCGTCCAGACCCCTCCCCCCTCCTCTTCTTCCTCCCTCCCCTCCTCTCTCCTTTCCCGCCTCCCCCCGTCCTCTTGCTCCTCTTGCCCCTCCCTCCTCCTCCTCCTCCTCCTCCTCCTCCTCCTCCTGCTCCCTCCTCTCCCTCTCCTCTCTCTCCTTCTCCTCCACCTCCTCCTTTTCCTCCTCTTTCTCTCCTTCCCCTCCTTCCTCCACCTGCTCTCTCCTCGGGTCCCTTCTTCTCCTCTCTTCCGTGTTGCCAATCGCAAATCTAAAGGCGCGGCCTGCTGTGTCCATGCGCATATGTCAGCGTAAGGGTGAGATCGAACTGGGCATGAAACGATTAGCAGACATGTGAAGGATGGGAAGGAGGAGCGTAGCTGGGACAGAGGTGTATGTGAGAGACCCAAATGATCCACACATTTCAAGCACGGTGGAAAATTATGCTTCCGTACCATTGCGTGGAGTGTTGTCTGCGCCGCTGTGAATTCAGCTGGTGGCAGCACGTACATCCATCCAAGAAGACCCTGGCCCTGGAATGTCACGTGCTTTAACATGTGTGTATTTCCTCCCTGCCATCCACGCCCGCATGGCTGCTGTCGGTAGGCGCTTCGAATCCTAAGCGATTCTTGACGGCCCGGCCGCGACCGCGCGCTCAGTGTGTGTGTGTGTGTGTACGTTCTCTTGTCTTGCTGCCCCCTTGTCGTCCTAATCCGCGCCGACTTGGCCGCTGCATGCTGCCCGGCGCCTCGGCGCCGCAGCCGACCACTGCTCCGTGAGGGGCCGGCCGTCTCGCCTGGTCCTTGCCTCTCCTCTGACCGCTGCGCGCTCGGCCGCCGGCCGCGCGCCCGACGGTGTGGCGAGTCGCCCAACCGCAACGCCCGAAAATGTGTGTGTGTGTGTGTGTGTGTGTGTGTGTGTGTGTGTGTGCGAAGTGCCCCCCTCCGCCGCCGCCTGGCCCCGCTGTGAGCGGGCCCGGCTTCCTCCCCTCCCCACCGTCGCCGGCAGTCCTCTCTCTCTCCCTCGTGCATCGCGGCCCAATTCGCAGGTGTTCGACCAGCATCTGCCCCTTCCGCCGGCGCAGTCACTCTGCCCAGCCGCCGACGCAGAAAGTGTGTGCGAGATGCCGGTCCCGCGCTGGCCAGCCAGACATTTGGCGCGAGATCCTCCACGTGGCCTCTCCGCCTGGGGCTCTCGCTCCACACCTCGTCCCCAGGCTCGGCCCCTCCTGAGTTTGTGGCCGCTGTCGTTGACGGCTTCGAGAACCACCAGCTCGACCGCTGGTGGGCTCTCACGCTCACCGAGCAGCGTGAGCTTGCCAATGGGCTCGTCAAGGGTCATTCCAGTGGCGGTCGCTGTGCCCCCATATGTAGCAGATCCCAGAATGCCCGAAACCCAATATATTTTCATCTCTTTGGGGCGCATTTTTTTACGTCCGCCACTTTCCGCCGGCTTCCGCTGGCGGGGGCGGCCTTGTCTTACTTCCGCCACCCTTCCACCGCCTTCCGCCGAGAAAGAGATGACAACCCCTTCGATCCTCGAAGGCAAGGCCATGTTTGGAACGCCTCATGTGGGGCGCTGCTATCGCCGCCCGTGCCTCGGCCTCCCCCGCCCCAACCGCGGCGCGTAGTTTGAGGAGATGAGGCTCCCAGAGGTCTCCCCAGACCTCATCGTCGTCGTTGTCGTCGTCGTCGTTGTTGTCGTCGTCGCCTTCGTTGTCGTTTTCCCCGTCGTCGTCGTCTCTGTCGCCGTCGTCGGTTTCGTGGTCACCGTTGTCGTCGTCTTGGTCGTGGTGGTGGTGGTGGTGGTCGTCGTCGTCGCCACCCGTCGTCGTCGTCATCGTCTTCGTCGTCGTTTTCGCCGTCGTCGTTGTCGCCGTCGCTGTCTTCGTCGTCGTCGTCGTCGTCGTCGTCGTCGTCGTGGTCGTCGTGGTCGCCGTCGTGGTCGTCGTCGTCGTGGTCGGTGTGGTGGTGGTCGTCGTCGTCGTCGTCGCCACCCGTTGTTGTCGTGGTCGTCATTGTCGTTTTCGTGGTCGTGGTCGTGGTCGTGGTCGTCGTCGTGGTGGTGGTGGGGGTGGTGGTGGTCGTCGTCGTCGTCGTCGTCGTCACCCGTCGTCATTTTCGTCGTGGTCGTTGTCGCCGTCGTTGTCGTCCGTCGTCGTCGTCGTCGGCTCCCGTCGTCGTCGTCGTCGTCTTCGTCGTCGTTTTCGCCGTCGGCGTCGTCGTCGTCGCTGTCGCCGTCGCCATCGTCGTCGTCGTCATGGTCGCCGCCGTCGTGGTCACGGTGGTGGTGGTGGTCATCGTCGTCGTCGGCACCCGTCGTCGTCGACGTCGTCGTAGTCGTGGTCGTCGTCGCGGCCTTCGTCGTCGTCGTCGTTTTCGTCGTCGTCGTCGGCGTCGTCATCACCGTCGTCGTCGCGGTCGTCGTCGTTGTCGCCGTCGTCGGCGTTGTGGTCGTCGTCATCGTCGTCCTCGTGTTCGTGGTCGTAGTCGTGGTGATGGTGGTGGTGGTCGTCGTCTTCGCCGTCGTCGTCGTCGTCGTCGTCGTCGTCGTCGTCGTCGTCGTCGTCGTCGTCGTCGTTGTCGTCATCGACGTCGGCATCGTTGTCGTCGTCGTCGTCGTCGTCATTGTCGTCGTGGTCGTCGTCGCTTTCGGCGTCGTCGCCGCCGTCGTCGCCGTTTTGTCGTCGTCGTCGTCGTGTTCGCTGTGGTGGTCGTGGTGGTGGTGGTCGTCGTCG